TGCACATATCCATTCCCCAAACTAAAATAATAGAAATAAATTTCTTAGAATTGCAAAGAGGTACTTGAATAAACTATAAATATAATATTTAGGGAAAATAACCATATTTCAATAGATAGAGCTTCAACATGTTATCTGCTTTTCTGAATAGAAACATATCAGTAGAATATTTTCCTTGCCCAAGTATGTTTTCATTCTGTTTGTTTTTATCAATATATTAAGAAAAGGTGCAATTTTTCTAAAGAAGGTTTCTATAGGTTGAGATAAAAGAAAACAAAACTCCACAAAATTTAGTTTTCCTATAATAAGCCCAACTAATTATGCTTCTACACTTTAATATTAAACAAAACATTTATACTTATTCATATTTTTTGCATGGATAGGTACAAAAATTCCCATAATAGGCAGTTATTTCCAGAACAATATACATTTTATTTTTCTAGTGTTGTGTAGCACACTTTTTCTGAGGAGATACAACATACGTGTGACTCACCCCAAATAGAGGAATGATGACAGACCCAAGTGTTGATACCGTCTATGATGGCTAGGTTTACATCAACTTGACACAAGCTAGAGTCATCTGAGAGGAGGGAACCTCAATTAAGAACATGCAACTATAAGGTAGGGTGGTTGTTAAGCCTGTAGGGCCTTTTCAATTAGTGATGGATAGGGGAAGGACCCAGTCCATTGTGGTCATGTCACTGTGGGCCTGGGTTCTATAAGAAACCAGGCTAAGGAATTGAGGAGCAAGCCAGCAAGCAGCACTTCTCCATGGCCTCTACCTCCTGGTTCTAAACTGGCTTTTGGTTGTGGTGTGTCATAATGGCAAAAGGAACCATGGCCAAGAAATCATGAAGATCCAACTTGGTGAACCAATGAGTTTTATTAGGGTTACTTTATGTGGGTGAGGGCTATTTACAAGACCAGGAATGAATAAGGGACAACTACATCACCAACTCTAGAATGTACAGCTGCCTGCAAGCAGCTCAATAGATTGAAGAGTGACCTTTCCAGGTAGCATAGTGTAATAACTTACATTAACCAGTAAGCTCCACCTCCCCAAGGACTGGGTAACCTCCTGGGATGCTGGGAGTTGTAGTTCTTGAAAAAAAAAGTAACAAAGTCTCATGGGAAAGTACCATGGCCTATGGGATTGTTTTTATAAACTTAAAAAACCGTGTCTCGGGACCACTCAACTGGAAGTTCCAAGGAGTGGTCCTGACCAAAGTTTGTCTTGGTCAGTATTTAATAAAACTTGCTCCTAAATTGGCAAAGGGGAACTTTTTTTCTTGCAAATTTTAGGATTAACAATAGTGAATCTCGGGATTAAAAATGGTTGGCTTGAGTTTGTTTCTTCTAAGCGGTTCCACTGGTCTCTGCTTCTTTCAGGTGGCTGGGCTTGTCTGAGAGTGACTCTCAGCAGTTTTTACTATTTCTATACTCTTAGAAACTGAGAGATCTAGTGAATCTGGTCATTTTCAGGGGGTTCCTGAAGCTTCTTTGAGTTCTTTACTTTCTGTCTTAAGAGCTTCTCTATAGGATAGCATGTTTAACCTCCCCTTAGAACATCCTGTTGCTTCACCTTCTTGTAAGCATCCTGTCCTAAAATATCCCATTGTTTTGCTTTTCTTTTATATCTTATGTCTTAACAAGTTTCCCTCCAAGAAAAAAAGGCTTTATTCTTGGACAAAACTGCTATACATCTTGTCTTTATCTAACTGAATTTCCTAAAGTCATGAGCTGATTTTTTTTTCTGACATAGAAAGTAATAGTAGCACTGTCTAACGAGGAGGTTGACAAATATTTTACACTATTGATGCATAGTATTATATGAATTATAACACAAATTTAAAATAGGGATCTTTTCTTATGTAATAGTAAAATATATTTTTAAAATCTGGCAATAAAGAAGGCCAAATGAAGTGGACAGCACCATCAAAATGAGTGAAAAATAGAATTTAAATGTTTTAGGTCATTTTAAGATTTCCTATTTCCCACTCTGGTAAGCATCCCTGCACCTCACTTGGGTAACACAGTGGAACTGGCCTTGAGGACAGAGGCACAAGTGAACCAGCCTCAAGGGTGTAAGACTGGGAGAGCTGGCTCAGCCCCTGGAAGGCTGAAGCACTTGGGAGGGTGGACCCTGCACCTTAATTAGGCAGCAAGATGGAGCTGGCTTTGGTGGCATGAAAGCAGAAGTGCTGACCCTGCTCCCTGCCAACTGCAGCATTGGGTGAGCTAGCTGGGGCAGTGCTCGAGACCTCACCCTTGTGGTGTAGGTATAGGAGGGCTATCAGGCTGATCGACTCAGCTACCTACCACCCAGGCCCAGATCCAGGACTTTGAATTGGCCCACCGCTAAATCTACCTTTTCTATGAGCTTCTGGAACATGTAGTCTGTTCAAGATGGCTTCCTAGGCCATCTGTAGATAATTCGTGGCTCTATAGTCTGCTCATGATAGCTTTCTGCTAAAGGCAGCTCTCTCTTGCTAGAAAAAAGTAATCTAAAATCTCTCTGGATAACTCATGGGTTTTCTGACCAAAGTCAGAAAAGCTGCTGTAAAATATTATTGGATTTTCTAGAAAAAAATTCTAAAAGAGCTGTGTTCACTCTTCAAGCAGTTCTCTCTGGGTAGCTGCTAGGAAAAAAAAATCTAAAAGAGGTATGAAAAATTCTAAAAGAGTTGTGTTGGCCCTCTATGAATTTTTCGACCAAAATCAGAAACTCTGTTAGGAAACATCTAAAAGTAGCTGTGTTTGCTTTCCAAGCAGTGCTCTCTGGATACCTGCTACAAAAAAAATTTCTAAAAAAGAACTGCTATCGCTCTCTGCTAGTTCATCACATGCAGACCAAAAGCCCAGTTTTTCTACTTACAAATCAATTCAATCGTTTACTCCAAGTCCCCTTTTGATTATCCCACAAATTAGTATTTTATGAACTTAGCCCATTGATTCTTAGAAGACAACAAGTACACTTTTTTTTTTTTAACATGGCAAAAGAATTCAGAGATCTGCCTGCCTTTGTAAGCACAAACAATAAACTTAGGTGGGTGGGATCACCCTGCCATCACCACTCTGCAAATCTCTTTATCTCCTTCCTTAATATCTTTCTGACAAGCTGGCTCATAGTGCAGCTGCCTTTTTTCTTTTAGGTCTGTGAAGCCTCTCATATTCAGTTCATATTGCATCCTTATATTTTCCCACAGTTGAGAAATCTTGTTTATATATTTTTGAACTAATGTTTTTAGAGTTCTTTCCCACAGCCTCGAGGGCTGTCTAGAAGGTCAAAGTATTTACCATTTTGCTAAGGGAAACAGAGACACACTCACCTCCTGGATCTGTCCCTTCCACATGGCCATGCAACAGTAGGTATGCTTGTTCACTATGACACTAAACCTACACGGTACAGCAAATTCTTTTCTCCATCAACTAGGACATTTATTTCAATTAGATGGAAAACCTGGTATCATTCATTTTCTACAATAGCAGATGTACAGATTGTCCCAGTATTATCAATTAAACTAGAGAAAGGTAGTTGTAAACTTCCTTCCTTCATAATATGATCTAAGGCCATTTGCCGTATCTTGTTAAGAACACTCAGCTTTGGTCTTTTCCAGGATACATAAGCCAAGGCTCAATTTGAATTCATGCAAATTTTAAATATAATTTAATTATTCAATCTCCAGTTCTTGAGTTTCTTTTCAAGAAAGTCAGAAGTCAAAAAGCAAATTAAATTTTTTTTTCAATTTTCTTGGAAAATGATTGCTTAATATACCTATGTTCCCCTTATATTGATATGTTAAACTAAATATTATGACAAACAGAATAACTACTTAAGAAGCAGAAAATTTCCTCATACTTTTAAAATAGAGTTTTAAAAGATTCCTATGAATAATCAGCAAATAGTAGTATTTTTATTTGGTAATGGTGCAGGAAAACAAATATCCATCTCCACTGCCAGAAGTGACATAAACTCCTAGGCCATGTTGAAAAGGTGTTTTGACAACAGGTATCAAAAACTTAATAGGTATGACCTTTTGAATTAGAAATTTGACTTTAATGGAGTTTGTTTAATTTCATATATATATATTCAAATATATATTCAAATTAAAAACCATGCAAAGGTATTAATCACATGTAATATAATTTATAATGGAGAAAAGTGGAGCCAACATAAATGTGAAGTGACTAGGGGTTAACTAGTAAAATAGTAGATTATTAATAGAATAGATAGCCATCTATTCATTTGAGAAACTTTCCATTTGAAATTAATGCCTACATGCAAAGGAAAAAATGTTGTTTCATCTCACTGGTAAAACTCTGAGTAGTTTGTGTCTTGTTTGCTCCTTTCTCTATTTCTCAAATTCCCTTCAATGTCTTTAACCTTTTAAAACAGTGGTTCTCAACCTGGTGGGTTGCGACTATTTGGGACTTAATAACCCTTTTACAGTGATCACCTAAGACCATTGGAACATAGATTTTTTTATTACAACTCATAACAGTAGCAAAATTATGAAGTAGCAATGGAAATAATTTTATGGTTGGAGGCCACCACAACAGTAGGGACTAAGTTAAAAGGTAGGTTAAGAACCACTGCTTTCAAAGGTCTTAAAAAAGCCATCTGCAAATAGTATGTAACAAAGTTTGAAAAGGAAAACCAAAGAAACAAACCCTGGACTGAAGAGATAGTTCAGCAGGTAACAATGTCTACTGCTCTTGCAGAGAACTCAGATTGAGTTCCCAGCTTCTACAGTGACTCACAATTACATATACCTAACTCTGGCTTTAGTAACCCAATGTATTCTTCTTCCCCCAGAGGACATAACATTCATACAAACACATGCACACACAAGTAAAATAAAAAACATAAAAATACAACATTAGACTTACTTTCCTAGAGAGAAGTGGGAAAAGTTCATATTAAACAAATAAACACCTAATATTCAGTACAAATGTCATATGTACCTAACTTTACTATGAATTACCATGTAGCTTTCAAATATTTTCAATATTATTTGCCTTTAATAAGTGGAAAAAGAACAACAACAAAAAAAGAATCCAAGTTCTCTTTTCTTTCCAAATGAAATTTTCCCATGTGAGGCCACAGTGCTCACTGGTTCCTTGCTGTTTCTTGTGATTTCACTTCATGATTGCAGTTAGTTCTTCTGAAGTTTGTGTATTTCTGTCTGTATCTGATCCACTTCTTCACTGTGATAGTTCTGCTCCTGTGATCTGGAAAGCACAAATAATGCTTTGTTGGTCAGGATCATCTTAACCAGGAAGTAACATGAAATAGTTCCTGCATCAACACTCCATGACCACTCTGCTCCATGCTTGTAAGGAAGGTTTGTATGGTAGGTATAAAGAAGAGTACAGGCAAAAGCATCTGGAAGAATCCAGAGCAGAGACAAACAGAACAGAGCAGAGAGAATGGACAGCAAACTTTACCTGACCAAGACAGAAGCAGGAACAGAGTGAAGAGTAAGAGAAGAAAGGACTGAGGGTGAAAGGAAGACCAAGAGAGGGCAGAAGAGAGGACCAAGAGCACACATAGCTGAAATAGCAAGGTTTATAAGGAGAATGAGATGCTGGGAAAAAAGGAAGCTCCTGAGCTGGAAGAAGTTTAGTGGTGCAGAGAAAAACCATGGACACTGAAATGTGTAACAGGTATTTGTGATACTGAGAGAGCCTGGAGGCCTGCACGCACTTCCCTATGCTAATAGGTGCCACAGATAAACAATTTATGCCTTCGGCGGATGGTAAAAGAAATGGCTCCCCTTTGCAGAAAGGAATCAGCCTCACCAATTCCTGTGGAATGTGGCTTTTTGTCTAACCACCAGAATTTGAGGAAACAGAGTTTCCTTTGGAACTAACAGTGACATAAAGAGAATGTTACTAATATTGCAATGTCATTGATCTGAAAGTTTAAAGGCAACAATGTCCATACAATGTAATGTAATGTAATGTAACCAACAACTCTAATGTGGAGGTAACGCACAATCAGATACAATTCATGCCCAGCTCCGCCCAATGCATTACCAGAAGCCTAGGTAGATACCAGTATAGAGCGAATGCAGTCTCTTTTTGGAGAACAGGCTTCCATCTTTAAGTCCGCAATCACATTCCCTTAATACACAAATGAAAGGAGGTGGAAATGAGGAACCATTTACTGAATTCTACATGCACTAGTGGAATAACTTTCCAAAATAATATGAGAGACCACCTGAGCAGACTTTTTTTGTGGGTTCTGAGATGACCTACAACCAATGCAGGTTTTCCAGTAACCCATTGTTATGGTCATTATAGAAGTTCTATAGAAAGACAATATGGCCTTTTGGTGTTTATATCTTGGCTGTCCCACATCTCCTATTGTTTTTTTAGTATTTTTCTTTTCCCGAATTCTTTGTCTTGTCTTTCGTCCAGCAGCAGTATGCCAGGCATTTTACCAGGTTTAGCTAAGAGAATAATTTCAGGATTTGATAGTTTGACCTCTCCTTGACCCCAAAGAAGGCTTGTAACTTTGGACTCCTTGAAGTGTAAAGCCCTGCGCAGCAGGCAAGTCTTCAAAGGATATCTAGTTGAAGGGAATCTGCATAGGTGCAACAGGGTGCAGCGGGCACTCAGGTGGACGACCGCGTCCCGTGGCGGCATCACATCAGAACTCACAGCGGCTTGGGAAGTTGGGAGACGCAAAGCAGGACCATACAATGAAGCTCAAACTAGGCAAAAACTCTGGGGCGCAAGCGCACCCCACACCACAGGCCTCCTTCTTTAGGCAGCCGGGGCTCCTCCGCACAGCATCCGGGGCGTGGCCTGGCAATGAGCCCAGTGCTTTCTCCGCCTCTTTTCAGCTGCTCCTTCCCAAACAACCCGGCGCTCCGCCGCTGCCCTTTGCCCATTGGTCCGTGGCCCTTTCCATTTCTACCCAGCCCTCCGAAGTTCACCAATCACCTTGAGCTCTTGGGAAGACACCGCCCCCCGAGGCCTTAGCTGTGGCTCCTCGGCCTCCTCCCGCTGCTGCCTCTGCTGCTGCCTCCTCCTTCCCCACCTCCTCCGTCCGGGGAGAGACCGCGGGGCCCGAGGGGCGGCGGCGGCGGCGGCGGCGGCGGCAGCGCTATGGAGCCGGGGCCGGGTGGCCGAATAGCAGCGCGCGGACAGCGGCCCCCGAGCGCCGCGCAGCCCCGGGAGCAGGAGCGGAAGCTGGAGCAGGAGAAGCTGTCCGGGGTGGTGAAGAGCGTCCACCGGCGGCTCCGCAAGAAGTACCGCGAAGGTAAACAGGCAGCGGGGGAGGGGAAGCGCGTCCCCCGGCTGGGTCAGCTCTTTCCAGCCCCACAGGCCACCATTGACACACACGGGGGCGGCACGTCTGCCCAGGCCGCGACCGGCCGGCCTCCTGCTCTCGGCTCCGGGAGCCCTAATTGGCAGTCGCCACCCACCTAGGCCCTGTCCCCAACGGTGCGCTGAGACCACTGTCACCGAGCATATACTCAGAGGGAGGGAGGGGCTTTCAGGTAAGACCCCAAGACAGGAGGAAAAAAAATATCCACCGATGAAAGGGACTGGCAGGAGCGAAGCTGCCCCTCACTCTCCTGCGCTGGACCAGCCTGTTGTTTAGCCCGTTTGGCAACAGCCCCTCTTCCTCTTCGCTGCTTGGCAAGGCCGTGCTGAGGCCTCCCCTGCCTGGGCGTCCAGGGCTGCGAAGTCAGCAGGCCCAGCAGAGGACCTCAAGGTGCTTCACCATGTTTAACGGGGAAAAGGGTGGCAGGTAGCTCCCCTTCACCGCAGCTCCATCTTCAAGTTTGTAGAGGCAGTCCAGGAAGAGATCTGGGGCAGGTTCTTAAGATACTGTGCAGTTTTGAATAGTCTCTAACCACAGAGACTCTGATAGACATGGATGCCATTGAAGCTGGGCCATAGGTGCAGCCCCCTCCTCCACGGAGGCAGCTTTTCCGTCTTGCGCATATGCCGGAACAGTGTCTATAGTTGAATTTTACGAGTTATCCTGGCATTTTGTAAATGGGGTCTTTCAAACAAAGCAACTTTATAAGATTTGGAAGGTGATACCTTGCATTATTCATATGTTCAGGGAAAAATTCTTGTAAGTGTTAAAATGGATATTTTTTTCCAGTGGATTTTTCTTTAGCTTAATTGCAAAATGAAAACGCAGCAGTGTTCTAATGTCAGTCTTTAAACTAGTTAATAATTTAGGTTAAAAGATAAATTATGGCAGTGAAGGAACAAAGACTTGTGAGATCATGTCACTTTTCAATTACTCGGAAAGTTCAGTCAAGTCTATCTTCCTTTGAGTGTCGTTGATGCGTTTTATTTTTAACACTATTCAAAGTTTCTTTCCTTGACTACTTAGTCTTGGCTTTTAATAGAGGCCATTTGATATCGCCAAAGATGGCTAATAGCTATTGTTTGATAGGTACCAATAGAAGAGCCTTGGCAAGCATATTAAGGTATTGAATTTTTTTTATTGAAAATACTTTAATTCCCAACCGCAATTCAATAAAATGAGTGGTTACCATAGCAACAGTTGCATCATTCTTGATAGTCACAAAATGCACTTACATAATGGCATTCTCTATTGGTTTTTATGTTGTTTGAAGAAATGAGGAAATAAGTGGACCCACTTTTCTTCAATTTTTCATGCCATTTTGTACAAATTTATGGCACATCTTTTAAAAGAAAATGACTAGCCTGTAATTCAGTTTCTATTCTTAACCTTTTTGTAATAATTTCATTGTTATTCATTATTCATTTATTCATAAACGAATAGGTTCCACTTAACACACTGCTAATGTGTCATTATCTCTTTAAGCTGCTGTTTATGCATGCTTAGTCTCACATGTTTAAACATGCCTTTAAGCCCAAATTCTAACTAGGGGAACACTTGGTTCATAATGAAGATTGATACTTAGAAATTACCAGAATGGAAAGCAATGCATGTAGTTCAGAAACAAATGATCTGATGTGTGCTGGGCAGGTAAAGAAGTCCTGATAGTCTAAACATTTGAATGAAGCAATTCTTTTGGCATTTTAATGCCCCGAGTTCCATCAATGATTTAGATGTTTTATTTTGGGGGCATAATAATGGTGTCTAGTCATAAACGTATTCTATAAGCTCGTAACAATTTTCTTACTGGGGATCACAGTAAAAATTCTTACTTAAAATCTTGGAATATAAGACTATAAGAAGCAATAGTTTTCATTAATGATTCTTAAACATGGCTGATCTTAAATTGTCTGCACTTTTATATCAGATCTACAGCCTCTACATCTCCATTAGGGACAGGAAACATATTAGGGAGATTTAGTGTATATCTCCAATTTAATTCGTTCAGTATTATAGATTAGTGGACCCAATCCTAAAAAGATCAAAGTAACGTTCATGAAGCTGAGGTAGTTCATCATTAGTGCATACTATTTTACAGGAAGTAGAGTGCCCATCCCATCTCTTCCCCTAATATTGGTGACATAAATGTTAGACTATAAAAGAAAGTGGAGATAAGGAAGTAGCACTAAAAGTTGAGCAAGGAAAAAGGATATAAATTGATGGGTATGGGCTCTCTATGGGAATGGAGCAATGGGAAGTATAGTTTTTTTCAGGGATATTCTGGTAATGAAAAATAGACTTGGGTAGAATGAAAAGGGAGATACAGCAATTACTGAAAAGAACTCAAGTAAGGGTAAAGAATATAGGGTAGAATAGAGTTTTCTTTGTCTACGTCTCTGATAGTGGATTGGAAATGCAACAGAATGAGAAGTTAAAATGGGACCTTCCTGCTGTGATGGGTTTTTTCCTCCATTGCTCTAATCTGTCCAACTGGTAGGTGTTGACAGTGATGAGCAGGCTTGGGTGGGGAAAGGGAACTGTATTTCAGAGGTGACTAGCTGTATTTAATGCACTCGTAACGACTTTTTCACACTGTTCCATTTTATTACGTGCCCTCTATCACCACTCAAAGGTCTTATGCCAATTTGTATTAGTGAAATGAGAATCAGCGATAATGGTCAGTGTTTGAGATGGCACTATCTATGTGAATAAGTTACTAAGAGAAAACGTGAGGGCAGTTCCTGGAATTGGCCGAGAGAAGGGAAATTTTGATGTCCAACCATTTTTAGATAAGAGACTTGCCGATTGAGTTTGTGTGGAGTTTATATGCTTGCAGAAACAGGTTTAATATCTTTCCCTATACTGAATTTTGAAATTTGGTTTCTATCGCAACTTAAAATTTTAATTTGATTGGAAGGTGTATAGACAGTGTATTTATAAGAAATAGCTAGTTTAGTTTTGCTTTCCAAACAAGGATTTTGTTTATTAGTCATATTTACTTGATTAGTGTATCTGACTAAGAACTAAACTGGACCCATGTAGATTTTCAGTTTTGTTTTTGCTTTCTTTGCAGTTTTGGGGTGAGTGTGTGTGTGTGTGTGTGTGTGTGTGTGTGTATGTGTTGGGTGTGCACATTTGTGATTGTGCAGGTGCATATGTGTGCATGTACCTGTGATGGCTAGAGGTCAGCATCAGTCTTCCTCAGTTGTATCCATTTTACTTTGTGAGACGGGCCTTTGTCTGAACCTAGAGCTCACTAATTAGACTGGACAGGCTGTGTTGAGACCGTTGAGATTATAGCTGGATAATTCTGTGCCTGGTCTTCTATATGCTGTCAGGGATCTGAACACAGGTCCTCTTGGTGGATGGCAAGCACATCAGTGATGGAGCCGTCTCTCTAGCTCACACATCTTTTGTAGCAAACACTTGAGAAAATCGTGGGGGAAATGGTAACTTTAAATTAGAGATAATTTAAAACTAAAAACAAAACAGCCTTAAAATTAATAGAATTGACTTAAAAATGTTCATGCTTTGCATGAAGTACAATATTTGAATTGTTTTAAAAATCAGGATCATAGACCACTTTAACTTTTCTTTCAGTATTTTCTCCACAGCTGTGTTAATAAATTGACCAGTTCTGTGACCCCCCCCAATACAGTTTGAAGCAGTTCTCTGTTTATTTTCAAATGAGCTTTCACAGTTTTCTTTCTATGTTGTCTCCTAGTTAATACTCATTATGATACAGAATCAGAAAAGTGTGTATGTATGCACACAGGCATATGAGAAGCTTTGCTTGTTCACTAAAATATGTAGACTCTTCACTAAAAGTCTAGTTAACTTAGCCCTAGAAATTTGGTGCAGGGTAGAAAATGAAAGGATAGTTTCATTTACCATAACACTATATAATGATAATCACTAACAGAACACTGATGCTGTTGGTGGACTGAAGAGCACACAGTAGGTGTGCAGTGTATGTTACCTATTTGATTTTATCATTATGCATCTGTTTTATTTCTGCAAGGAAGGGGCTCATAGTTCAAAAGATACATACAAAAGTATAAATGCAAATCCTTTGGTTATTTATCAGGCTAAAAGCAAAAATCCAAACAAAACCCAAATGTTATGATATTAGCCTTGGGTCCACTTTAAGTGTTATCTCTGGAACTCTGTAGGATATAACTGTCTATGACACTTCAAAACTTAAAACTCCATGAAGTATACAGTAGACAAAAAAGTTAGTGCTGAAGTGGAAGCACAGTAGGTTATACTGGGAAGTCATCTACAAGAGGTGCGTTCAGTGGCTCTGCCTCACTTCATCAAATTCTTTGGTTTAAAATTTGAAATCTCTGAGCCTCTTAAAATTCTACAGTCATTCAGGCTAGTTTCTGAGAACATTTAGCACAGATTCTATATAAATAGGTGCCTGT